CTTTGAGCTGATTTGCGTCAGTAAACAGCCCTTTGCTGTTAGCCCTCCTAGTACTCTAAATGGTGTCTGGACCTCTGTTCATCTCACGATATTCAGCCTGCAGCTCTTTCTCACCTTCCAGCACATGTCCAGGGAGAACCTGACCCTTCATACAAATAGATTATCCAGGTCTTACCTGAACCAACTCTCCAGCCCCTAGTAACAAAGGATGGTGCTTCCACAGTGTGCAAAAGTGCCTTAAACTAGTTGTGGTTTGAAATAACACCTGCTTTCCTCACAGCTAAATCTGAGAGGTGTGAGGCCAAAGGAGATAGAGGTTTAAAAAAGGTAAGTCCAGTGGCCGTTGTTTAGGCCATTCTTTGAGAAACATTTCTACCTACAGGGCCGCTGAGAGAAGCTTTTCCTCAGACTCTTCTCTGTTCTCATGTTGGCTCCATCCTCTTCTCTCCACACTCACCCCCTAGGTAATAACTAGCTCCATGGCTTCACATACTATATATACATTGATTACTTCTTGGAGTAGTCTCCAGAAGGCTACACATCCTGGTACTCTTGACATCCTGTGGGAGGAAGTGATAGATGTATGACTTTCAAGAAGAGGTGCAAGAGCATGTTAGCTGTGCTCTGGTCTTTTAGATTGCATGGTTGGTGGCAAGTCAGCTGAGACAAGCTTAAACCATGAAGTAAAATCCACATAGTATTCATGCATGCATGTATATCCATGCATGGTGGTGCATGCCTGTAATCCCAGTTACTTAAGAGGTGGAGGAAGGAGACTCACAAGTTCAAGATCAGCACTCACAAAATTCTTGAGACCATATTCCCAACACAAAATAAAAACAAAAGGGCAGGGGGCATAGCTTGAGTGGTAGAACACTTCTTAAGCCATCTCACAGCCCAGCATTCAACACCAATAACAACATGAACAACAAATCTATCATTTCATGGAATTTTTACTGAGGATCTAGTGGCTAGGGTTTTGTGGAACAGCAAGTCCTAAGCAAGTCCTTTTCTAATAATATCTGTCAAAACATTCTACAGTCTTCACTTGGCAAGAGAAAGATTGGATCTCTTATGTTCTAGGTTCACCTTGCCCTCGTTTTGCTGCCAAGAAAGGTCATTGGCACAGCTTGTCTTAGTCTGTGTGGGCTGCTGTACCAAAATACCTCAGTCTCACAGCTCTTGAGGCAGACTCAAGAGTCCACTAGAAGCTAGGTGCCAGTGGCACATACCTGTGACCCTAGCTACTCAGGAGACTGAGATCTGAAGATGGCAGTTCAAAGCTAGCCCAGGCAGGAAAGTCCATGCAACTGAGGAGTGGCAGAGAGAAAAGGCTCTGAGACAGCACCCAGGCCCTGAGTTCAAGGAAAGAGTCATAGGGCCTTCTCATTAGGCCCACAGATGCAGTAGGCTTTCTATGACCTCTCTAATCCCATTCACAAGGGCTCTGCTCTCAGAACCAAGGTTCTACCTATCACCTAACACCATCACACTGGTCATAAGATTTTAATTTACAAATTGGAGGGAGAAGAGGACACAAATTTTCAGGCCATTAAGTATAATCTCATGAAACACCATCCTGCATTCGCAAAACCACGTACCACCAATCAACACACGCCTGTCTTCAAGGAAAATAACTCACTCTTAAGAAAAACATCTAAAGGATCTAAACATCTAAAGGATCAGACAGCAGTCAAGACTACAGCCTACAATTATTTTTAAATCTAAAATTTAAAAATTTTTAATTTTGTATGCATTTGTTGTAAAACAGTCTAGAAAATACAGTTTTCTGTATTTTCTGCTGAATTGTAATGTCTTAGAAATGGGAGGGAGGATTTTGGAGAGCATGTTATTATTTTCTATTGCGTATAATTAAAAATGTTTAATAAACAGCCTGTCTGATGCTGGTAATCACGAAATGAAAGTGAATTTCAGTTATGCAAAACAAGTGGGTTTGCAAATAGCTCCCGGTAGGAAGGGAACTGCCTGGTTTCTAGGTCACAGGCTGCCAGTCGCACTTCTTTAGGCTTTGTAAGAGTGCCACCTGCTGGAACCTAAGAAAAGTAACTTTTTTTTTTTTTTTTTGCCTGATCTGGGGCTTGAACTCAGGGCCTGGGCTCTTTCCTTAGCCTCTTTGTGCTCAAGGCTAGTGCTCTAGTGCTCTACCACTTGAGCCACAGTGCCACTTCTGGCTTTTTTTGAGTAGTTTATTAGAAATAAGAGTCATGGACTTTCCTGCCTGGCCTGGCTTTGAACTGCAGTCCTTAGATATCAGCCTCCTAAGTAGCTAGGATTACAGGTGTGAGCCACAAGCACACGGCTAAGAAAGGAACTTTTAAAAACCACTGTTGTCACTGTACCCTGCATCTTGTATATACATTTGTCTAATCTGGGGAGGGGAAGAGGAATAAAAAAGGACACAGGATGACCCATTGCAACAATGATACCCACAGGACAGTATATTGGAAATGAACTTTACAACTTCAGGTGGGGGAGGGAGGGTTAGAAGGGAGGAGTGTGAGAGGTGGGGGAGGGAAGGGATAATAGGAGAACAACAAGGGAAGGGGTAACAATGCTAGACAAGTAATGTACTCATTGCCTTACTCATGTAACTGTAACCCCTCTGTACAACATCTTTACAATAAAATGAAAACTTTAAAAAAACACTTGGGGGGGGGGAACCACTTGAGATGTGCCCAGTACTAGAAAGTCTATTCAAAACAGGTGATAGAGAGGAGAGAAAAATAGGAAAAAGCAAATTTATTTATTTTTTT